GTACTGCCTAAAAAACTGCTTTTTACTTGCTAGTTTAGTTGTCTGGCTACCCAAGTCAATATCAGATGCTATAAAAAACGAGTAATAGAAATTAGTAGATGCCGGTAAGAGAAATGTCTCCACAGCATGAATTTGATATTTGAAAACTCGCCCCGGATTTAAATTTTTCCAACTAATCGATCTTGAGGAGGCGAGTAAAAGCAGGTCAGCATACAATCATAGAAACCACAATTAACATATTCCCAACATACAGTTATGTGTATCCAGTAACCAAATTCTGATTGTTATTGTTAAGGGAGCACCCTGTGTACACATGTATAGGCTGTAGTCCAGAGCCGTGTAAGGCCCAGGCCCATGTAACCCTCTACTTCTAGCTTCTTCCTCTCCATACAGAAACTCTGCTTTTTGTCTATCTTTCACAATATTGAACATGGTATCAGAACATCGTGTCATGAGGCGCTTTAGTTCTGGGTGTTCATCCCTCACTCAGAATGAGTCTTGAGCATCACACTTCAGCCAAAGAAATGTGGAAGTATTTTGAGCAGCGGTTACATTCAGCCTAGTGGTGCTCTCCATTTTTCACTGTTGCAGAATTTACACAGCACTCAACAGCAGCAAGACATGTCCATCGAAGAATATTATGGGGCTTTTACTCGCATTACTGGTCAGCTATGTTCCATGGTTCCGAAGAGTAGTGTTGGATGTAAGTCGTGTGTGGCCAAGGAAGAATATGAGCATCGGACTCTTGTCTTTCAGTTTGTGATGGGTCTGAAACAAGACTTTGAGAACATTCGCACTCGGTTGCTTAGTCGTACGATTCCTCCTACCTTGACAGAGGCACTTGCTAGCTTGATTACTGAGGAGACTCGTCTTCGTTCCCTTGCTACCACTTCAACACCTTCTCTACACAGTGTTCTGGCTTTTCCTCAGCGGCCAAGTGCTTCTAGGGCTGCACCTTCAGGTGCTTTCTGCTCGCACTGCAAGAGGACAGGACACCGACCTGATAATTGCTTCCAGCTTCATCCGGAGCTATTAGACGAGTATCGTGCAAGAAGAGACCTGCAGCGTCATGCAGCCACCAAATCTCAGTCTCGGTCTTTGAGGCCGTCTACAGCGACTGTCACCGAGCCGCCTGCAATGAGTGCTTCTGTGTCTGCTCTCACTCAGTCTGCATCTACTTCTGCACATCCTTGGGTCTTGGACTCTGGAGCATCTTTTCATGTGACCTCTGATCGCTCACAGCTTGTGTCTTGCCAGCCTGCGCAAGATGGTGCCTCTGTTCAGACTGCCGATGGTACACCTTGTTCTGTCACTCATCGGGGTTCACTTTCCACATCAAAATTTTCTGTTTCTTCCATATCTTTTGTTCCTCAATTGTCCATGAATCTTATGTCAGTTGGTCAAATTACCGACATGAACTATTTTGTTGGTTTTGATCCCTCTTTTTGTTATGTGCAGGATCGTCAGAGCAAGAGGATCATTGGAACTGGCCATCGCCGTAGAGGATCCTCGTCCCTCTACGTTCTTGACTACTTACACCTTCCTTCAGCTTCCACCACTTCCGTGATTCCGTCTGCTGCATCAACAAGGAGATCCACTTTGTCGTTTTCTTTTGCCCAGTGGCACCATCGTTTAGGTCACCTATGTGGTTCTCGTTTATCCACTCTTGTTCAACAGGGTGTTTTGGGTCGTGTACCTATAGGTGCTGGTTTCCACTGTAAGGGTTGTAAGCTAGGGAAACAAATACAACTTCCATACTCTTCCAGCACTACTCATTCTAGTCATCCTTTCGATTTAGTGCACTCTGATGTATGGGGTCCCTCTCCCTTTGTTTCCAAAGGTGGTCACAAACATTATGTTATATTTGTTGATGATCACTCCCGATATACTTGGGTATATTTTATGAAGCATCGTTCTCAATTGATTTCTATATACCAGGCTTTTGTGCGTATGATCCGTACTCAATTCTCTAGTGCTATTCGTGTTTTTCGTTCTGACTCTGGAGGGGAGTATCTATCTACTGCTTTTCGTGAGTTCCTCTCTTCTGAGGGTACTCTCCCTCAGCTCTCATTTCCTGGTGCTCATGCTCAGAATGGTGTTGCCGAGCGTAAGCATCGCCATATTATTGAGACAGCCCGCACCCTTTTGATTTCTTCATTTGTCCCTATTCATTTCTGGGGTGAAGCTATCTCAACTGTTGTCTACCTTATAAATGTGCAACCTTCTTCTCGTCTTTAGGGAAAGTGTCCTGGTGAGGTTTTGTTCGGTTCTCCTCCCATGTATGACCATCTTCATGTTTTCGGCTGTACTTGCTATGTTCTTCTAGCGCCTCGTGAGCGTACCAAGCTAACTGCACAATCTGTTATGTGTGTTTTCCTTGGATACAGTCTTGAGCATAAGGGTTACCGTTGTTACGATCTTTCTGCTCGCCGCATTCGCTTTTCTCGTGATGTCACTTTTGTTGAGGATCAACCCTTCTTCTATTCCGATTCAACTAGATCATCATCCTCGACCACTTTAGAGTCTACCTCCTTTCTCTCTTCCACCAATCTTTTCAGATGAATTTGTCTCTGGTCAGCATCATCTGTCTTGACATCAGATCCACCTTCATCACATGTGTCATCTCCCCTTTTGCCAGTTCCAACTCCAAAATTTCTTCCATCAGCTCCACCTCTAGATAGCCTTCCTTTCCATTACAGCCGCCGCCCTCGAGTTCCATCTGATATACAGTCATCTGTTCCCTTGTCTTCTTCTCCTCCGGCCAGTACTATTGATCATTGCACTGGCGATTCCTCCCAGACAACAAGGTATGCTCTTCGTGATCGTTCCTCTCTTGAGATTCCTGACAGATACAAAGAGGACTTCTGTGTAGGGGCAGTGTATGAGCCTAGCACTTACCATGAGGCAGTTGTGTCACCTGAGTGGCAAGTGGCGATGTCTGATGAGCTTGCAGCCCTAGAGTGTACTGGTACATGGGATCTGCTACCATTACCTCCTGGGTCTGTCCCTATCACTTGCAAATGGGTGTACAAGGTGAAAACCAAGTCAGATGGTTCTGTTGAACGCTATAAGGCCCGACTAGTTGCAAGAGGTTTTCAGCAGTCCCATGGGAGAGATTATGATGAGACTTTTGCTCCAGTTGCTCATATGACTTTCGTTCGCACTTTGATTGCTGTGGCTGCGAATAGGTCATGGAAGATTTCTCAAATGGATGTGAAGAATGCCTTTCTTCATGGCGATCTGCATGAGGAAGTTTATATGCAACCACCTCTGGGTATTGAGGTTCCACCAGGTCATGTTTGTCGCCTTCGAAAGGCTCTTTATGGGCTCAAGCAAGCCCCGCGTGCCTGGTTTGAGCGGTTCAGTTCAGTGGTTCAAGCCGCTGGTTTTTCTCCTAGTGAGCATGACCCTGCACTCTTCATTCATACATCTAAGCATGGTCGTACATTACTTCTGCTTTATGTAGATGACATGTTGATCACTGTAGATGATGTTGGGTATATTGCTTTTGTTAAAAAGAAGTTGAGTGAGCAATTCAAGATGTCAGATTTGGGGCCTCTCAATTATTTTCTAGGAATTGAGATCGAGCACACAGATGATGGTTACTATATCTCCCAACAAAAGTATACTCAAGATTTGATTTCTCGCTCGGGTATTACCGACTCACGCACTGCTGTGACACCCATGGAGATTCATCTGCAGTTGCGTCCTACTGATGGCACTCCTCTTGAGGATCCCTCTCGGTACCGTCACATTGTAGGCAGTCTGGTGTATCTTATAGTGACAAGGCCTGACATTGCTCATGCAATCCATATTCTCAGTAAATTTGTCAGTGTTCCTACCTCAGTTCATTATGGCCATCTACTTCGAGTGCTTCGATATTTAAGGGGGACTGCATCCCGCCGCTTGTTCTATGCTCATTCGAGTCAGCTGCAGCTTCATGCTTATTCCGACTCCACTTGGGCAAGTGACCCAGTCGATCGTCGCTCTGTCACTGGCTATTGCATATTTCTTGGGACGTCTCTTATTGCATGGAAATCCAAGAAGCAAACTGCAGTGTCACGCTCTAGCGCTGAGGCAGAGCTTCGGGCACTTTCTACTACGACATCTGAGATTGTGTGGCTTCGTTGGCTATTGGCTGATCTTGGTGTTCCATGCCCTACACCCACAACTCTTCTTTGCGACAATACTGCTGCCATTCAGATTGCTAATGATCCAGTGAGGCATGAGCTGACCAAACACATTGGTGTGGATGCCTCCTTCACTCGATCTCATTGCCAACAATCAACTATTAATCTCCAGTATGTCCCATCAGAGCTTCAAGTTGCAGATTTCTTCACAAAGGCTCAAACTAGAGATCAGCATAGGTTTCACATTTGCAAACTCGGTGTATCAGATGCTACTGACCCACCTTGAGTTTGAGGGGGGGTGTTAAGGGAGCACCCTGTGTACACATGTATAGGCTGTAGTCCAGAGCCGTGTAAGGCCCAGGCCCATGTAACCCTCTACTTCTAGCTTCTTCCTCTCCATACAGAAACTCTGCTTTTTGTCTATCTTTCACAATATTGAACAGTTATTACCAAGGCAAATTACACAGTCTTATTACTGTAAGTTATAATATATAACAAATAAATTGCCCGAAGGCCATTTGTCAATAAATACATGAAACAATGAGGAGCACAGAACATATATAACATGAGAAAACAAGGAAACAATGAATAAAATAGATGAGAGAAAAATTACCACGACCATTGCTTTAGCTCGTTCATAATACATAATACATAATTTACAACATGGGACGGTAGTCTGATACCAAGCTGGTTCATAGAAGCATAATTTATAGTAAGGAAGGGCAGTCTGCCAACAAGCTAGTTCATAGAAGCATAATCTCTGTGCCTTGCTCAAAACAAAGTGAGAAGAGCTACATGATACCAGGTGGTACTTTCCATTACAAAGGCAATGGTTCATAAACATACTGGGTACGATGTGCCGAACAGAGCTCACCAGATACTATCTGTAGTCTCTAGGCACTGCTCCGATTTCAGGCCAATACAACGTAGTCTTTTTGCCAACTTTCTTGTGCTTGCGAGTGCTGTTTTCATCGCCCCTTTGGTGCTGTCCTGCCCTCTTAGGCGACGAGCAGCTGTCGTATTTTGTATCTGAGTAGAATACGAGCTCATGTATCTGACAGCATAGAACCATCCTTTGCGTACCTTCTTGATTCTCTTTTTTGCTTCATCCAGGTACCGCTCCAGGAGTGTGACTTGATTTTCCAGCCTTTCTACGTGGGTGTAGTGATAGTCCCTGATTTCCTTGCCACATGCATTCTCCATAAACCTAATGGCTGCGATAGCAGCACTGTCTTCTGCTTCATCATAGTTGTTTGAGATCACACCAGATATCGACGTTCGAACACGCAAACCATCGATCAACTGTAATGATGAATTAAAAGTAACCGTAACACGAGAGTTGTTACCCGGATATGTCTTATGATGGTAATTCGCAGGCGGCAACTTCAGAGCTTGCAGCATGAGGGCGAAGATGTGGGAATGGGGAATCAGTATTACATGGCCATCTTCCTGCAAAGGAAATAAAAGGATATAATATTTGCTTAACAAAGGGATAATCTCACAATATATTGCATTGAGTTATAAATCAGGGAAAAATAAGTATTAAGTTCTGTTGGTGAAACTAAATTTGTTTGCCTATCGATCAGTATGAACCAATCAATTAGAAACAGAATACATCGGTTAATAACTTTAGTCTCATTAAGACATGTTGTTTTACAACAATCATGAACACTGCAAGGGAGTGGCGTTAGCAGGCAATAGATGCGGCCAACATATATTACATAAAAACATCAAGCTAAACAAAGTATATCTGGAAACTACTTCCTTCGCACATATCCCACTAACATGTTTCTACTACATAAATTACAGCTTCTGTCTTTAAAAAATGAATAGCATTTTTGAGTAGCCAATTCTTATAACATAAAGAATAATTAGACAATTCCTTGAGCAGCTTCTCTGAACATAGCTCACACACATAGGCTCAAATATGACAAGAAGGCCTTTCTTCCTTTGAAAGGCAGTGATATGGAATTGAACAAACATGAAAACGGAGCAGGTATATCATATATAGTTGATTAAATTGCTTGGTCATAAAACATGACAGCGAGTTTTTCCCCAAATGACAGGCAAGACTAAAGTCGCTGCACAGTTGACCACCTACTGCCAGACAGGGTTTCTAATTCACCAAGAAACAGTAGTTAAGCAGAGGTTCCTAGGCATATTTAGGCGTACCAATGAATTAATAAGACGGTCAGCATGACAGGGCATGGGAACAATTAGTTATACCAGAGGTTCAGTTTGTTACCTTTGGTTCAGAGGGTGTTGTGCTTGACGATGCCAAGCCTGGAGATCCCTTCTCGCAAACATCCCCAACGCCCATGCCGTCCATACGCTGTCTACTGGGGCAGGGAGAAAATAGATAACGAAAGATAGAGGAATGAATGCATTGAATATATTTGTACATCTACACGATATACAGTTTTCAACAAAGTGCACATAGTTAACACATTTGACAGCACACAGTTCATCTTCTTGACCATCTACAGTTGATGCATGCTACCAAAATTATTACGCATTATCACATATTGCAAAGATGTGCTGGACAACAGCAAATTAAACAAAAAGATGTAGCACACAACAACAGTTGGAACAAAAAGATATACAAGGGGAGAAGAAGACGGGTTTGTACCTTCAAGAGAGATGGCCGTGCTTCGCTCTGCCGCCGCGCCGGGGTAGCACGTACACCCTGCAACTGTTTCCCCTTCTAACCTGAAGATCGAGCGAGGGGGTTAGAAAATGGATCGAGGGAGAGCTAGCTAGAACGCAAGAAAGAGGGAGATGGGCTAGCGGCGCGCGAGATCGAGGGAGATGGTCCGGGGGCACGGAATAGCTGGAGAGGGTCGGCAGCGCAGAAGAGAGGGAGGGAGGAAGAGGGGCGGCGGCGCACCTGTGCGTCGGAGGAAGTAGGAAAGCAGCGATAGGATTCGGGGAGAGACGAGCTGTTCCGCGTGGTTTCTTCGTTTTGGAGGCCTCGACTTATGCATGCCAGCGGCCGATTAGGCTGTTAATGGGCCAGGGACCAGGTAAGGCCGGGGCTATGCTAAACTAATATGTGTTTTTCTATTTCTTGCAAGCAGATATCTTGTACCTAGGATAATAAGCTATTATTTGTTGTGGCGGTAGAAGTTACATCTGATCAGTTTGTCTGATTCCGCCTTTTGTTTCGTCGGTCCTTCCATACGTTTGTATTTTCTAGATAAGTTAACATGGCCAGAACTCTTTTGTGAAATCACAAGAACATATTTATGATCATAGTTCCTGTAAACGCCAATGAATATTTATAAAATACGTGAACACTTTACTAAAAGCACACGACTTATAAGAAGTATGTTTTTTTATTCGAAATTCTGACACCGATTAACAGTGAGCCATTATTTATCCCCACGAGCATTTTACAAAAAAATTCAATGAAGTATGAAGCAAACACATCACAATTTTTGTTGGAGCACATGAATTTTTTTTAAAAATGCATGGACAATTTTTTAAAACCTATTGGAATCTGGAACTAATAAACATGAGCGTGAATTTATTATGTAGTTTGATTTCATCGGCACGAACCAATTATAACCTTATAATAATTAGCTACTTGTTGTGTAGGTCTAATGACATAATCATTTGAGCATGGAGAATCGGCAATATCGCCTATTTTTTCTAAGATGATTGGAGAGATAAATTCCATTAGTTTGACGCAGAGCATACAAAATCTCAAACTAACTAATTGGAATAAGACCATTTCTGGCAGCATATGTTGTAAGCAAATATCACCACACAGTTATGTCTGTCCAATAACCATATTCTGATTGTTAGCAGCAAGGCAAAGTACATGGCCATATCACAGTAAGCTCAAGAATCCAGCAAATAAATTGCCTAAAGACCATTTGCTACAACAAAAGACTGGTGTGCTGGTTTCAACCGTGTACTTAATAAGTTATATGGAGGGCGGTCGTACGATTGTTCGACCACAACTATCGTAGCCAAAATATTGAACAATATGCTAAGATCCATATCAAATTTAGAACACACATGTAGCAGATCCGACCAAAGAAAACGGCTCACATTGCCAGCCGACGACGCCGTTGAACGAAGACCCTGGTCGCTGCTCCTTGCGTTGGTGGAAAACAGCTCCTTCCGTGCGCGTGGTGCCATGGCGCGGGGAAAAGCTTCGAGGCCTTAGATTGAAAAACAGCCGATGCGTTTAGATTAATCTCATACCATGGAGCAAACCAACAGAAGGAAATTAATCGGGAGACAAAGGAGGCAGGGAAAGGAACTTGCCTTGGCTACAGGAAAGGGGGATAGCGCTGCCGCGAAAGCCGAATGAATAGGAGAGGTCCACAATAGTGTATTATCAATGACTTTGGCAAAAGTCAGAGGGCAAAAGATAATGTGTGTACGAAACAAAGCAGTAGACATAGCATAGTGAACAGATTAGAAGACCAACATCAGAGCTACAGCTTAATTGGTTCATAATTTACAATAACTATAGGGTGGACCGTCTAGTAGCACCGATCATACAACCATCAAGGATTGTCTCATAGGACCGACAATACATAATTTACAATAAGGGTAGGGCAGGTTGCCATCACAGTACTTTATAACATCTCTGTAGAGGCAACAGGGCCAGATACGCTGATATTACTTGATAAACCAAAAGAACTTGCGCGTTCTCACACGATCGAAGCATCAGTCGGATCCATCATTAAGGAAATCGTCATACAGGCAGTTTGCACCACAAGCACCCTCGAGGTCCGACGAGTAGTAACCACTGTTCTGGCCCTCATGGTCAGATGGGAAGTAAACATAAAACTCGTTACATTCAGAAAAGTCAGACTCAGTGTCATATGGGTAGTCACCAACGCTCTTGACTGCATCAGTTGACATGGCAGCCAGATAGGCAAGGTTGTCAGCTTCTTGAGTAAGATGATAGCAATCCCAGGCCACATCATCTACAACAGAAGAGGATCCTGTAGGCAGGTAGTTGACTGCCATCTTGTCAATACGTCCTGCAGAACTGAGCATGTCATCTACAAGTGACCCCCAGCCCTTTGCAATGCCCCTGACCCGGAGATTTCTTTTTCCCACCTTAGCCTTCAGATTCCTGATCTTCCTGGACTGTTCGGCAACAGTTTTGGACAGGTAGCTTATATTGGACTTAATTTTCTCCATCTGAGGGCAGTCAAACTTAATATCCATGGTGGTTTGAAGATGTTCCAAGCAGTTGGTAGCAACATTTTGTATGGTGTAGGATCGAAAGTATGTCTAGAGGGGGGTGAATAGACTACTTGACCAAATAAAAACTTAACCTTTTCCCAATTTTAGTTCTTGGCAGATTTTAGCTAATTTAGGACAAGTCAAGCAATCATCACATAATTCAAGCAAGCATGCAAAGAGTATATAGGCAGCGGAAAGTAAAGCATGCAACTTGCAAGAATATAAAGGGAAGGGTTTGGAGAATTCAAACGCAATTGGAGACACGGATGTTTTTCCCGTGGTTCGGATAGGTGGTGCTATCCTACATCCACGTTGATGGAGACTTCAACCCACGAAGGGTAACGGTTGCGCGAGTCCACACAGGGCTCCACCCAAGGGTAACGGTTGCGCGAGTCCACACAGGGCTCCACCCACGAAGGGTCCACGAAGAAGCAACCACCCACAAAGGGTCCACGAAGAAGCAACCTTGTCTATCCCACAATGGCCATCGCCCACACAGGACTTGCCTCACTAGTGGTAGATCTTCACGAAGTAGGCGATCTCCTTGCTCTTACAAACTTCTTGGTTCAACTCCACAATCTTGTCGGAGGCTCCCAAGTGACACCTAGCCAATCTAGGAGACACCACTCTCCAAGAAGTAACAAATGGTGTGTAGGTAATGAACTCCTTGCTCTTGTGCTTCAAATGATAGTCTTCCCAACACTCAACTTTCTCTCATAGGATTTGGATTTGGTGGAAAGAGGGTTTTTGTGGAAAGCAACTTGGGAAGGCTAGAGATCAAGATTCATATGGTAGGAATGGAATGTCTTGATCTCAACACATGAGTAGGTGGTTCTCTCTCAGAACATATGAGTTGGAATGGTGTGTGTGTTCTGATGGCTCTCTCATCGAATGAGAAGGAGGTGGAGGGGTATATATAGCCTCCACACAAAATCCAACCGTTACATACAATTTACCAATCTCGGTGGGACCGAATCAGAAAACTCGGTCTGACCGAAATAGTAAACCTAGTGACCGTTAGGAATTTCGGTGGGACTGACATGCAACTCGGTAGGACCGATTCGGTTAGGGTTTGGGCATAACGTAATCTCGGTGAGACCGAATTTGGTAATTAGCTAACCAGAGAGTTGGTCAGGCAAACTCGGTGGGACCGATTTGCTCTTTCGGTGAGACCGAGTGGAACTCGGTGAGACTGAAAAGTTACAAAGGGGAAACACTGAGTTTACATTGCAATCTCGGTGGGACCAATTCGCTCTTTCGGTAAGACCGAAAAGTTACGAAAGGGAAACAGAGAGTTTGCAACCCCATCTCGGTGAGACCGAGATCCTTATCGGTAGAACCGAATTGCTAGGGTTTGGCAGTGGCTAATGACAAGTGAAACTCGGTGGCGCCGGATAGGAAGAATCGGTAGGACCGAGTTTGGCTTAGGGTTTAGGTCATATGTGGATATGGGAAAGTAGTTGAGGGTTTTGGAGCATATCACTAAGCACATGAAGCAAGAGGCTCATTAAGCAACACCTCATCCCTCCTTAATAGTATTGGCTTTTCCTAAAGACTCAATGTGATCTTGCATCACTAAAATATAAAATGAAGAGTCTTGAGATTTTGAGCTTGAGCCAATCCTTTGTCCTTAGAATTTTGAGGGTTCCACTTTCACATCCATGCCATGCCAATCATTGAGCTTTCCTGAAATAATCATCTTGGAATAGCATTAGCTCAATGAGCTATATGTTGTTATGGATTACCAAAACCACCTAGGGATAGTTGCACTTTCATATGGCCTCGTTGACATCCACATCTGGGTCGCCACTGATCCTCATATGTGGTGCTGGTGCTGACGAATGCGACCGCGATGGCCAGAAGATAGCAGTAGCCACCACCCGGCCCCGGGAATATGAGCAGGTCTTGTATTTCACCTCCGGTAAACCAACTTCAGCAAGAACAACACTAAGCATAGCCCGTGGCCTAATTGTGACAGAATGCTTCATCTATTTAGAATATGTAGAGTGGTAAGTCATCTATACAACAAGAGAAATACAGGGAAGTATTTTACTACCAAAGATACATGACCATAGAAATGTATTATGCTTCATTGGCGACGGGTTCAGATCAAGCACA